GCACCCACCCGGATCCGTTCATGTGAAAATCGTATGACTCTTTATTGATCTTGGCCCTGAACTTTTCATAATACTCGTCCAGATCCGTTGACGCGAAAATAGCTTCGTTTTTAGTCTTAAACTTTTTCAACTGCATTCCTTCCTTGTCCTTATCGTCAGCTTTCTCGTATTCTGCGTAAACTAGTATATTAACCTTCAATGCCTCGCCGGTGAGTTCTTCTTTAATTTTTCCAATCACGAGGTCTTTCGCTGTCAGTAGGTAGTCATCGATGATGAGAATCTCTGGCTGGAGGTTTGTGATGAAAAATGTTTTCAACCTGCTTTGACAAGCAGTCTCAACTTGAACAATCGGTACTTTAGTCTCAAACAAATTTCTTATGTGACTTGCAGATTCTTCATGTTTTTCTCTTTTATGGTATGAGATCTTGCACGTGTCACAATATTCTTGATTCTCATCGTTGTTGTCATCGGTAGGTGATGAGGTGTCCTTCATGGTGGACATCTTTTCAATATGTTCGGGAGATTGCTCATGATTCTCTCCCTCCGCATAAAACTCATCACAAAGATCACAATGGATGAGCGCGCTGTGCTCCTGTTTAATATGCGTTTCATCGTCGATACCCTCCTCCTTCTTAATTTGTTCCGCACACTGTTCGTGCTTTTCACCTTGTTTATAATATTCATCACAAATATCACAGTGGATGAACGTTTCAACAATCTGTTGTGTTTGTTCTTGAGCAGCCATGATAAAGATACTATTTTAAGCTCTACGTTTTCCGAGTCGGTAAGAAAAAGGAAATCTACACTATCTTAACGTTTGCTAGATTCTGTTCACTAAGAAAATTTCATAGCGAACAACTGATACTATTTTAAGCTCGGGGTTTTCTGAGTTTGTCACCACAGAAAATCTACACTATCTTTACGTTTGCTAGATTCTGTTCACTGAGAAACTTTCAGTGCGAACAACTGATACTACTTTAAGCTCTAAGTTTTTTGAGTTTGTCACAACAGAAAATCTATACTAGCTTTACGTTTGCCAGATTCTGTTCATTGAAAAGAATTCAGAGTGAACAAGTGAATACTATTTTAAACTCGAGGTTTTCTAATGTCATCAAAACCTAGACCGACGAACTTTCGCTCGGAGACAAATTTACACTTTTCATAACCGAGTGAAAAGAAACTGTAAAGTCATAATTTACCTCAGGGTAAATACAGTTGTAGTATTCGTTCACCACCAAACTCGGTTACACTCGGAGAAAGTGTGTAGTCATGATTTAGATTAAAGTTAATATAGTAGTAATTCTTAATCACCAGATTCGGTTACACTCGGACAAACTGTGTCGTTCTAATTTAAATCAAAGTAAATATAGTAGTATTTGCTAATCACCAGACTCGATTACACTCGGACAAACTGTGTAGTCATAATTTGTAGTAGTAATATAAAACTACGCTTTCATACAAGAGGGAAAAATTAACAATTCTAGTCAGGGAGCGTATAAATAGTGTCGAGGAAGTGTGATCGATCATTTCAAAACAAGAACTCGTCAAGTATGGACGCTCCAACCCTCAAATCACAATCGATTAGAGCGATGAACACCTTGGACACGGTATATGAGGCTCTCTCTTTCAAGATTCCAGGATCACGAGCAGAGCTTTTGAACAAGTTTGCCAGACTCCTTATTCCTGACAAGTTGTTCCACCATCTTAAACTCAGCTCAATAGACACTTCCGATCCCGTCGGGTGTTATGGGTTAATTGAGATAACGGAAAGATTTTGCCATCTCCTAGAACGTGTCGCAGACGAGTATGAAATAATGTACTTCTTAAAGCAGGGGTACAAGAAAGTAGACGAACGGGACTGGAAGATATGCAGACTTTTGAGTGCGATTCGCATAGTATTATACACCAGAGAGAGGAGAGCGGCTCTCTATAGTAAAGATTTCGTATAAATAGTATGCATTCTCTTCTCAGTATCGCAAGGAAGAAATCATGATTGATAAAATAATTTTCATCACCATCATCATTGCTGTCGTTGGAGTGAAATCCTCACTGGTGGAAAACTCATCCGAAGCAAACATCACAATGTGCCCGGTCTGTCAGGAAATCAAATGCGCACCCTCTACCTTGACGGACGTTCTTCTATTCATCTTGAGTTTACTGGCACTCATTTGCTCCGCTCCGTACCTGTACTCCAAGTACCTATCATCCGACTGCAAGTTCCGTTTCACCAGGATGTCCCGTGAGAAGAACAATCGGAAAGTCGATGACATAAGTGTCGATTTAAAGTTCGGAGAAGGAGAAGGAATCGATGTTTGTGGTTGACAACCCTCACGTTTTTAGTGCGTTTTCTAAACGCGAACTGTTTTTAAACTGTTTTTAAACTGTAACTGTAACTGTAAATATCCAATAAAAAATAATAAAAATTTTTGATTCGTCAAACTGCTGAACTTTGCAATATCCATTCCCAGTCGCTCATCCCAAAACACAAGGTTCCCAAAACGCTTCTCCAAGCGCACACTAGTAAAAAAAAAAATTGAAATTACCGAATCAGACCCTAATCTCCAGTATCAGATACCAGGCCCATACTGCAAGATACGGTCTTCCGAAACCGAAAATTTTTACAAGTCCGAAATCTCGGAAACGAAAAGTTGTATCAAAATTCGGTCAGTACAGTTTTCCGATCTTCGATAGTGGAAAAGAATCGCATCGATCCGCAACGGATCGGACGAGGGTGATTTTCCGAAAATTTTTCAATTTCCCGAATCAGACCCTAATCTACAGTATCCGATACCAGGCCCATACTGTTAGATACGGTCTTCCGAAACCGAAAATGTTTACAAGTCCAAAAATCCGAATATTTTGCACAATCTGGCAACATTGTATCAAAAAATTAACTAATTTCTCGCCCCATCTGGCAACACTGTAAAATGCGATGTTGCAAAATTTCACCAATAAATAAATCATTTATTTAAGTGCACCGTCCGGCAACGCTGCTGCGCCATCTTGAAAAATACACCATTGCATAAACCGCAGATTGAAGGGGCTACATTACACGATTGCATAACCCCATTATTGAAGGGGCAACATGCAATACTTTTACTTTACAGCGTTCCCATATTGAATATAATCCCTATACAACACTGTACTTTAATTCGTATTTTTCTGCACCATTATGCAACGCTGTTGGATTTTTTATTGAGTCAAGTAATCATTTTCATACTACTCTTACATTTTAAGTGATTAAAAAATAAAATGAAAAAATTAAGTGTAGATTCAAATTCAACACAAAATCATCACTCTCTGTCAAATTGATACTAGTGGGGGCCCTGAAATGGCAAAAATACGTCTATTTTGATCGCTTGCGCGGGTAGAGTAGTGGCTCTGTCTCTTGGACGATCACCAAAGTTAAGCAACGCCGAGCGTAGTTAGTACTTAGATGGGAGACCGTTTGGGAATGAGCGCTGCCTGCTAAGCCTCGTGTCAGAAATACGAGAACGGTAATTTCCAGCAGCGCTCTCTGGTCGTCAAATCGTGAGATAAACGTTAGAAACTGAATAAATACGTAAAATTACACAAGCAGATAGTGCGTTTTTAATTTATGTCTTATCAGTTGATACATGGTACCAACTGATACCAAGTATCATTTCAGATCTGTTGATACTTCGAACTGCCACCACTTATCAGTTTAGATCAGTTAGAAGCCATCAACTGACCCGATCAGAATTGATGTCTACTGATGCTCCGCGCCAAAACACCGTTGACAAACTGATACACCGTCAACTGATCATTTTTACCAGGGTACAATGATCTTATTACTCACTGTCAGTGTTAAAGTTGAGAGAGCGCTGCTATTCTTCTTCTTCTGAGCAGCCGTGGGGTTTGCCAAGTCTCCTTCTTCATAACCTGGGTCAATCGCTTCTAAGCAGTCACGATGATTAAGTAAAGCTTTCAACCTCACTGACCAGGGAAAGTAGTTGTCATCGGTTAGTTTTAGGTTCTTCGTAAGGCTGTTTTCTATTTCTGCCATGATGGTTCGAAATACTTCTTCTGCGATTCACCACGAAAGAGAAGAACCGGACACTTCTTCAACAAAACTAACACGACGAACAAGACAAACAAAACTTCTACTGGGCCATAATAACCTGTTGGTCAGAGTATTTAAATAAATGAGTAAACATTACCTAAATAGCGCAATGATTTATTAACTTTTTCTGAATCACGAACTAAGACATTCTCACAGAAAAGGATATAAAAAATATAACCTCCAAAATTTAGACAAACAGAAGGAGGAGAAAAGTAGGGGACCAATCACAGGGTTGTATTGCTAGCATGACAGGGCTGCAGCAAAAGAAAACTAAAAGTTTGACATAATACCAACTTGCTGGATAAAGACTAATGTTTGGCATCATAATCAACAGAAAGAAAAAAATAACCCTGCCGCAAGCGGCATTGCATTTCTTCTTCGTCTACTATGATGCTACGCTCCGTGAAATAATCTTGGAGGATTCTGAGCAATGCATACGAGGAGAGAACTTACCTCCCTATGATGGTACCTTATTGGGATGGTTTTATCTTGCCACAAACTTTCAATTTAAAGCAAATGATCTGCCAAGTTCGGTGTTACTATAGAGAAAAAAAGGAGGTGTTTGCATTTCGGGCATCTTGGAATTTTTTTGATGACGTAGGTCGGCACAACGACTTTTATCATCGATTTTCTTAGAAATTGTCAGGAAATTGTGTACCTAATTTATGGGAAAAATTCATTCTATAAAAAGTGCTTGAAATTATATGATGAGTTGATTTAAGCAGAAAAATGGAACATTATGGTCCGTTTTTCATACTCCGAATTCCGGATTTCGCTGGCCAGGTTGTACCGACCTACGTCACAGGGTAAACAAACCTCAAGATGCAAACACCTACTTTTTTTTTCTGTATGCGGTGTTACGATCACATCATCATGAATTTAGGATCGATTCGTTTTTTTTTGGTTTTTATTTCAGTGCTGACTCGCAGTACAACTCAGCAGTAATTAATACGAACGTAATAGTGAAACATGACGGTGAGGTAACCTGGCTGAGTCATGGCATCTACAGGAGTTCGTGCGATATTGACGTCGAGTATTTTCCATTTGACATCCAAAGTTGCGCCATGAAATGGGCCTCCTGGACGTACGACGGTTACATGGTAAGTCCAAGTACATTTTTTTTTCAATTTCACATCGAGCACCAGTTCACTCGAGGCGGAAATAAGCGCGTTTTTGAGGGTAATGCAGTTACCTACCTGCATTACGGAGCCCAAGTCGGCTGCGGGAAGGGAGCGCCTCCTCTTTTCTGTGGAAGAATGAATAATTTTGTTTAGAACCGTCAATTTTGTGATGTGTTATTATTTCATTTCTTCAAAAAAAGGCTTGATTTCCATCAGTAACTGAGTTTACCTAAAACAAGCTGACATCTCCGGCCCTCGGGTGCCAGATAAGGAAGCGATCCAGTGTTCCCTCCAATAGTTTATAAATTAAATTTAATCGACCGGAGGCGAGTTGAAACATGGCAATGCCGTGAGAGCAAAAATAGATCGTATTCGATACATCAAACGGGTGAGAATGTATCGATATTGATTGGTTCAAAACAAAAACATAGCCTCAAAAGTCAATTGAGTAATCTGACAGAGCGCTTTTTTATGATAGATTTTTGATGCGTATGAGTACTAATTAGCTAAAAGTAGTCAAATTGCTACGAAATTTCTCAGTTCCAGTTTTTCTGACAAATATCCTAACATTTTGGTTTGAAGTTATGTTTATTGTTTTGAACCAAACGATACATCGAACCACTATCGAATACGATCCATTAATACGTCTTAAATCAGCTGAGCTTTTTTGTAGATTTTCCAAAACTACCAAAAACCCTCAAAAACATTTTCGGGCAAAAAATCCGGTCGAGGAAATTGACGTGTTACTTACATCTTATTAACCAAAAACATTCCCCTTCACCCCTCCAAGAAGGTTGATAAAACTAAGTAACTATGAGATGGAAAGAACCTCTCTTAAATTCTAAGGGTCCACCAAGGCCACATGTCCAAACACTTACTCTATTCGGTTTAAAAAGAAGAAAAAAAAATAATCAGGCTTAACATTTTCCATGCGGCTGATTTCCATGAACTTGGTTTCCATGCCATATGCGCATGGAAATTTTTCCGTCCCAATTTTACATGCGGCTGATTTTCATGCAAATTTCGCATGGAACATTTTTACCAGGGTAATGAATCCTCCAGAGCAATTTTCTACCTTGTACAATGCTAATATTGTTTTTTTTTTTTTTTTTTTTTTTTTTTTTTTTTTTTTTAAATTATTCTCAAAATTTGAAGTGGGATAGGTAATGTTGGCTTCTCAAGAGCCACCGTACGTTTACCCGCTTTTGATTGAACGAGGGTTTGACAGTATAACGATTCAAACACGAAAAAACTGATCTGCCGGAAAACCATTTGGACCACCAATTGAATAGCATTGGTTTATTGGTGTGCTGTATCATAGTATATCCGAGTGATTTCAAAAAGCGAGCCCTCCTACTGGCACGCTCAAAACAACCGAGAAGCCCGAAGTCCGCCAGCCGAACCTTAAAGCTGCGGGACGCGAAACGTCATACAAAAATATGATGTAAACAATGATATCTTATTTGTCATTCAATCTAAAAATGGCCGACCCCGCCCGTCGGATCCGGGGCGGGGAGGGATAAGAAGCGATAATTACGACGAAACGGCGGCTATCAACCAATCACCTTCCAACAGTACCTAACGCCGTCGGCCTATTGGCGCGGAAATTGAAATTATGGTATAAGGTAAAACACGCGCGGGGGCGGGATGCCTCCTTGTAATTTAGTTGCTGTAATTTTTGGGATATTTACCTGAGAGTAGAGAGGTCAGACCATGGGCTTGGGCGGGACCAATTTTTTAATGGACAGGTGAAGGAAGTCGAGTGCCGCCTGCTTCAAACATAGTCTCTATTCTTACAATGTAATTTCCTTATTTCTTGGGAGATAGCGGTGTACCCATTTGTCGCCTGCTATTCCCTTTGCGAGCCATCCTCATCTGCTTCTACGTATTTTTATCAAATGTTATCTGATGTATGTAAAACCCTCGTCAGATTCCGAATAATTCCGTTTGAATTTCAATGAAAACCTGAAAAGAATTGGACCAAAATTTACTGACAAACCTAGGCAAACTGGGTCAAATTTTTTGACATTTTTGTAGGCCTCGATTGCCCCGTTGAATAGCGTTTGGACCCAGATATTTTACTAATAAAAAAATTGGTAAAATTTTTACTGACATGTTCATATACATGAAATTAAAAAGGTTATCTAACAATCGATAAGTAAAGGTATCATCGGAAATCATAAAGAAAAGTGGCAAAATGAATAGACCCAGCCATTGAAGTTTTCCAATCTATAGTAATTAATATAATAAATTGAATCATTTCTCCCTCAGTGAGATTGGAGAGGCCAAGTAATATACCACCCCTCGCCCCCCGTCTCCCTCCCTCTTCCCCCCCCCCTTCCACGGGTCACCGGGTCACTCGTCCTACGACGGGTCCGGTGTCCGGTTCAACTCCAAGTCAGGTTACACGAGTTTGATAGTTCAAATGGTGGTTACGTCTCATGCAAAGCAACTTTTATGAGAACGTACTTTGCTACAGCGGTACAGATCCAGAAAATCACTCGCTTTATTAGCGAAACATTTCACAACAATGTATGCGCAATATTTTTATAGTCACGTCACTGCGATATTGCTGGATAAAAATTATGCATAATTTTGCAATTTGATATTATTGTACTGCTTTTAGTAACATTTCTAAAATATTACACAGCAATATTGTGCGCAATGTTTTAATGAAACATTAGTATGTGATATTGTGCGGGTGATGTTGCTGTGAACTATTATTAGAATGTTTCTAGCAACGTTTCATGAAGTATTTCTTAGTGATGTTGGCATGAAATATTGCAGAAACGTTGCAATCATGTTACTTAGACAATATTGCTAGTACTATATCACTTGCAAAATAACACCCAACCCCTCTGCAGGGTGGGTTGAGTCTTGACTTTTTTATACATAATTCTTTTTAAAGTGCACTTATTCTCATTGGTTTTTTATGATCGATCTGGTGAGGTGTGCAGCTGGATCTGGTCAAGCAAACGGAAGAAGGAGACGTGAGTAACTATCAAGCGAACGGAGAGTTTGATCTTATCGGCTTTGACTCAATCAAGAATGTCATTACCTACTCCTGTTGCGAGGAGCCTTACCCGGATATCACCTATTTCATCAGACTCCGGAGACGGCCCATGTTTTACGTCTTTAACCTCATCCTTCCGTGCATCCTAATTAACTGTATCGGTAAGTACAGCCCTTTACTTACTCCTTCCTCCCCTTTCCACCCTCTTGCGCTCTATTAATTAAGTATTTCTTCCAACAGCGATGCCATGTTGTCATCGCGTCCAAAAACCAAAAGGAGTTTTGAGATGGGTATACCCGTATACACTACTGCTGGGTTTCTAAAAAGTTGATGAAAGTAGGGTACAAATGTGAATTTTTTGTTACAGGGTGTCTACAAAAGTAGGAATATGGTAGGGTGGGCAGTGTTGCCGGATTACGTGCATAAAATTTCTCAAGGCACTCAGGCTATACATATAGGCGGTGAAACTACCAGACCACTCATGTCATTAGCGGTGTTTAAACATCTTTGCTCCCATTTTATTTTTTGGACGGAGAACAAATCAATTTCAACCCTTGAAGTTTTCAAAGTGTTTCCTCCGGACAGACAAGAAAAATCACGGACATTTTCCAAAATTGACAATAAGTGCACGGTGCGTCTGAACGAGTTTAAATTTTTTGACGAGTCACAAGCAAAACCTCTCCAGGTTCTTAAAGTAGAATGTCTACTGACAATGAGTCACTGAAGCTAAAAAGAAAGAAAATCTGTCGAGTTCCTGGAAAATAAAGTCAATTTAAAGATATTTTTGGGCTAAAATTGCCAAATTACCCATAGCAAGACCCGTCATATTATTTAAAAAAAAAAAAATTCCCGGATATAATGTCTAAGTTTCTTAAATATGCATACTTTAAGCCGCCAAATACTTAGACTACCAATTTTAACCATATGGTGGATTTTGGGGTCCTATAATGAGCCCTCAGAGCCAAAAATTGCCTTTGAAGTTTGCTGCCTCGTAGCCATGAGGCGCTTTTCGCAAAATTGAAAAAACGTTGCCAAATCTCAATTTTTTCCAGTTTTATGCTGATAACTTTTTCTGTAATGCAAAAATCGTAAAACTGTTTGCTTGACATGAAAGAACATAAAATTAAAAAGAAATTGGTGTATACATGTTCTATTTTAGCATCAAAATTGACTTGCTGGGGGGCATCGAATCTCTGGCTCGCGGAGAGCACTGTGCGGCGCGCGCACCGGGAGCTATGCAGCGTGGCTGTCCAACATGCCGTTTTATTTTAAGGGGGCAATCGATTTGAAACTTTCGTTACAGGTAGGTAAAAGGTAGTTACTTGTATAAATACGATTTTTCCAAAATTTCGTCAAGCGGGTTGCATACCCTGCTCCTCAATACCCAATTGAGTGATTTTGAAGAGGCACCTTGGGACTTCTCGGTGATACATTGGATCGCTTTCTTAGGAAATCGAAAGTGGCACAGAGACCGCACAAAAAAAAACAATCCATATGTCACTGAAATGCGATTGTCCATTGTCGAAACATAAAATATATTTAATCATAAAAATCTAAGATATCTTGCGTTAATTATGTTTTTCCTTCATCCATACTGTAAATTTTGTTTTCAAGGGTAAGTCGAAAGATTTGACACGAACGAACGAACTTATTTTGAAGACACTATCGAAATAAATACTCATGCTGCTTCATGCAAGTTATTTACGATAGCTTAATTGCATGGATACGTAGGTAATTAGCACAGCGAATCAATTTCATGGGAGATGTAACTATTTCCGTGTCATTATACTTTTTTCGCGATTTAACTTCAGTACTTTATGTTTAAAAAAGAGAAGTCCTTTACTATTAAGGAGGATCCTTCTGAAACTGTCCCATAGGGTTTTCATCATTTTCCCATGGGTTTTCATGGAATCCCATAGGATTCTCGTGAAAACCCATGGGATCTGACTGGCTCCCATGGGGATCGATGGGGTCCTCATGGGGAACGATGGAGACCTCATGGGGAATGATGGAGACCTCATGGGGAACGACGAGGACCTCATCGGGAACGACGGGAACCTCATGGGGATGGATGGGGACCCTATGAGGATCAATGGGCACCATTGGGGACCCCGTGGGAACTGATGGGGTGACGACCAAGGCTCATAGGGCAACTAAGAGAGTTGAATAGAGAACTTAAGAAATTCCTAAGTGTCTGCTGGGAACCTATCAGGCAAAACACGCAAATCAGGGCCTTGAAGCCGGGGCCCGTAAGCCATAGATGAGATAGATGAAGGAAAAGTGTAGGTAAGTATGAACACGAGTTGGTTTAAGGTTCAATAGCGGAGCAAGGACCTTGAAGCACATGACTAAAGTCGAATTATAATCTAAAAAACACTAGATGGGGCCGAAGCCCTACCTTCTCAAAAAGATGATGAAAACTTACATCACGTATCTCTAGGAGACGGCAAAAGACTGAATGGCGGCCGGGCCCCCCACTCCCCAGGCAATGCCAATTGCCCTCTCCCCAATGGCCGACAGCCCGTAGAGAGAGACCAATCAACGTGCCCTGGGACCAGAAGGACGCGACCGCGTGTTATTCAAATTATAAGTCGGGAGACCGGGTTATACAACCTATCATTTTTTCTTAAATTAGAGAAAGTAAGGAAATGCTGATTATAACAAAATTGGAAGAACAATTACTTTTACCCCTGTTGAATGAAAAAAAATAAAACGAAGCACCTACCAAAAAAATAAAATAAAGTGAAAAATAAAATAAAGTAAAACATAAAATAAAGTAAAAAAATAAAATGAAGTAAAAAATGAAATAAAGTAAAAGAATAAAATAAAGTAAATAAATAAAATAGAATAGATAAATAAATAAAATAAAGTAAATAAATAAAATAGAATAGACAAATAAATAAAATAAAGTAAATAAATAAAAGAAAGAAGATAAATAAAATAAAAGGCATAAATAAAATTAAGTAAATAAATAAAATACCAGAAGTCTAAAGAAAATCAATCTAAAAAAACAAAATAAAGTAAAATGACGTAAAATAATATATTGAAGTGAAAAAATAAAATGACGTAAAATAATGCATTAAAATAAAAATCCAAAAAAACCATGTAAATTGGTCGAGATATTCTGGCTGCCCGTTCAATTGGAAACTAAATGCGGGTTTTTCGTCTCCCCGTTCAAAGTCTCGCCATAGCTCAGTAGGTAGGATTCTCGTCTTCGGTTAGGTAATTCCCAGGTTCAATTCCCGACGTAGGCAAAAAAATTCTACACGTAAATAACGAGAACTAAGTGTCCACAAAAGTCTCATGGACCTTATTTTTCGCAGTTTAAGAAATTATTAATAATAAATTAATACCCCCCCCCCGGAAATTGACCCGGGGTTTTCCCCCATGGATCAATTATGGTCCATGGGGTAAAAAGTGCCCATGAGGCAGTAAGTTCCCATGGGCATGGGGAATTCTACTTTCTCATGGGGAAAAACCCCGGGCCACTTTTCAATGGGGATTTATTTTCAAAAACTCCATGGGGCAGTTTCATAAGTTTCATAAGGTAGATTTTCAAGGAGCCCTGCTAAAAATGACCATGTTGGTAACAAGTTGGTCTGGCCCAACATGGTAGCAACAGGGCGAATAGAACCCGTTATCATATATGATATCAACACGTTACCAATATGATATCACATACTGAAAAAAAAAAGTTCCAAAATGCTTAAAAGGTGCGCTCCACGTTCTAAGGCTTAATTTTCATCGCGGTCACCAGAGAAGTGACGCTAAGAGAACTCGACATTGAACGTTCGCCAGAAATAAGCCGCGCTGCGCCCGAGTTCCCAAGCGGTCACCCATCGAAGTACTAACTACGCCCGACGTTGCTGAGCTTCGGTGGTCGCCTCAAATGTCGCCGCCACTCCGCCACGGACGCTCGCGTGGGGGAAGTGGCTAATTTAGTACTAATGAACGTCCCCAGATCTGGTTCAATGATTAGAAGCAATGATATTCTTGCAATTCTGTACATCATTCAGTTTCACAATGAAGATACGAAAAAAATATGAAGTAGATCAAGTTTTTGAAAGAGAGGAGTACAAACAACACATGAAAAAAATAAAATAAAGTATGGACGGATAAATAGTTATAAAAATGAAAATATGAAAAACGAAATAAGATAAATAAATAGTGTAAATTAATGAAAAATGGATAATATTATTAATAATTTATTATAATTCATTATATTATATGTTCTATCTATTATATATGATTTATCATATGAATGATATAAATTCTTAATATTATTTAATAATTTTTGTAATTACTTCCTGGTCCCATTGTAATTGAGCAACATTCTTTTGACTTTAAGCCGCAGATATAAATGAAATTTTATTCAATGCACAAATGAGTTTTGAAAGTAAAATAGATAAAAAAAAGTCTAAAGGAAAATTTACTCACAGAAAAAATATCAACATGGATTTCAAAAATTAATAAGGCCACAAAGGCAAGAATAAGAAAATCGTCTTTGAACATATCTACGGATCAACACGTACAATAATTAGCCGCCAACCGAAGGTTTCCGACTTTCTCCGAATATATACTGAACGTTCGTAGCGAATAACCCAATGATCGGTTTCCGTGACCTTAAAAGTTTGGTAAAACCTTACCGAACTCGGTTGGGCGTGTGTTCCAACGCCGTAATGCCGTTCGGTTCACAAAACCCAATAGGTACTTAGGTTTGTGTCACCGAACAACCGTACACCGAATTAAGGGTTCGGTAAAAGCCACCGAACATTTTTTTTCCAGTGCAATGATATCAGTATGTTCCCATGATGGGACCAACAGATACTAACTTTACATCAACTCTTTATCATGATGGTAGTCCAAATTGATAGCATCATGTTACCATATTTTTACAATGTTGTTAACAACATTTTTTTTAAATCATGTTTATATCATATTGGGACTTGCCATATTGCTAGCATGCTGGTATCATTTTGGTCTTTTACCCCAAGTTGATATCACATTGATACCATGTTGACATCATCTTGATACCAACATTGGCGTTTTAGACCCTGTTAGTAACAACATAGTCTCAACATGTTACCAACATGGTCGTTTTTAGCAGGGGAGGATGCAAATTGGTCTAGGGATGAGCACGGTAAAGTATTTGCACGGACAG